AAAAAGTATGTCTCGCTGTGCTTCATTTAATAGCTCAATAGTGCTTTGGTTCGTAAACCAGTCTTTACGGAAGCTAGTGTCCGGAGCAAAACATGCTGTCAAATATCTTTGCATTTAGTACATATCGTCTTTGACCGAATCGAATGAGACGTAACTGTTTGTTATACTGTATGTACTCATATTCTTCATTTATGGCTTCATGAACGATAGCAGTTGTTGTGTTCCTGTTGTTGACATTATCTGTCCTTACATACAAATAAAAAAAATAAATAAAAATAAAGTTAGTTTTATTTTTTCTATCTAAGGAAATTATGATTTTCATGTGTTTAATGCAAGACCGAAAAAAGTCGTCTAGAGAAATTTCACTGTTTTCATAGAGTTTTGGCGACCCAGATAAAAGTCGGTCTCGCTGTTCTTCACTGTTTTCATACGGAATCTCTTCTCTCGGTTTTTCGAGGGAAGCAAGCATATTGCCATTTTACTCAGATTTTTTGGTCAATTTTTCAGCAAAAAATAATGTTTAGGTGAAGAGGTGCGATCTCACCTGTTTTTTCACCTGTTTTCTACCCTCTTGAATTTTCATGATTTCATCGAAACTAAACGTATATGTTTTGTCAAGACTTCTTCGTAAATGTTTTTGTCATAACATGAACGTATATGTTTTGTCAAGACTTCTTCATCGTACATTCTTTGTCATGATTTCATCGAAACTAAACGTATATGTTTTGTCAAGACTTCTTCGTATATGTTTTGTCAAGACTTCTTCGTAAATGTTTTGTCCAAGACTTCTCTCGTAAATGTTTTTGTCAAACTGAACGTAAATGTTTTGTCAAGACTTCTTCATCGTAATGAGCGTAAATCAGACAAAATAAATATTTTAGGGTAGAAGGTTAGATCTAACCTCTTTCTACCTCTTTTCTACCCAGTTATTTTATAAGCGTTTTACATGGTAAACGTTATTTTTTAAATTTTGTGAAAACTCAACGGTTTGACACAAGCCCTAAAAATTATTTTACTCAGAATTTTGTTGCTGAATTCAGCAAAAATAAAGTTTAGGTGAAGTGGTGCGATCTCACCTGTTTTTTCACCTCTTTTTTCACAAGCGTTTTACATGAATTGTACGATGTATATTTGAAATCCTAAACAGTTTCGTAGCTTCTATTTCTTCTGTCAGTACATCGAATGTTTTAATATGCGAAAGTTTCTTTATACTTCTTCTTGACGTCAGATAGAAGGAAATCTTCTGCTGTTGGATAGTTTTTTGTCAGAAATTCTAACATGTCCATTTTATTTTTCTGCTGTTTTCTGCTTCTTTCTTTAAGTCTGCATAGTCGTTTTCTCATACGTTCTATCTCTTTGACGGAGTAGTTATATTTCCTAATTGCTGCTTTACATTTAAGACATTGTGGGTTCAACTTTGCGTTATATTCTGAAACCTTACCTGCTAAAAACAAACTAAGCGTCAATGGTTTTCTTTAACTCAAAAGTTGCTGGTTTTATTTGTTTGTTCCATACTTTACCTCTTCTATCTTTCATCTCTTATCTGCCATACCACATTCAGCAACTAACGAAACAAAGTTGTCGTATGTTTTAAACTCCCCCGATTATAATATGTCAGAGATGTTCTTATATACCATGTCGCAATCTTTGTCCAATAACCTTATGGTTGCAATGAAATCCTAGAAACTCATAGTTTACCTTCGTATGAACTTCTTTATTTCTACCGGAGTCAGTTGCCTTTGACTTCTATTTCATCGAATTCAGGAATAGTTAGTTTTGTTGCTGAATTTCAGGTAGTTTAGGCAAAATGGTCAATAATGTCTCCATTTCATAAAGATACTGTTCATGTTGTTCATCTTTCGCACTACAGTCTAAATTACTTGTTAAAAGTTCTTGCTTTATCTCTGGATTTCTGTTTCAAAAGTATATGAAGAGGAATGAAGTCTTTTCATCCCTACCAAACATTGACGTAGGATTCATGACTAAAGAGTTTGGTGCTGTAGTTGTTTGTATTGTTGTTGTGCCGATTGTTGACATTTTTTATTTTTTATACAAATAAAAAAAATAAAAAAATAAAAACTAACTTTATTTTTTATTTCGGGAAAATTCATGAAAATTCAAGATGTGAAAAAAAAAGGTGAAAAAAGAGGTGAGATCGCACCTCTTCACCTAAACATTATTTTTGGGTCCTTTACACTCATTACGAAGAAGTCTTGACAAAACATTTACGAAGAAATCATGACAAAACATTTACGCTCATTACGATGAAGAAGTCTTGACAAAACATGTACGAAGAAGTCATGACAAAACATTTACGAAGAAGTCATGACAAAACATTTACGAAGAAGTCTTGACACTTTTTCATTAGATAACTGTTATTTTTTGACGAAGTGAAGAGTAACACTTCGTCAAAAAAATTCCTGAAATCATATCTTACATACAAAATAAAAAATAAATGACACTTTTTCATTAGATAACTGTTTATTTTTTGACGAAAGTGAAGAGTAACACTTCGTCAAAAAATTCCTGAAATCATATCTTACATACAAAAAAATACAAAATAAAACTAACTTTATTTTTTCTATCTAAGGAAATTCATGACAAAACATTTACCCGACATTCTCGTCAAATACAAAAAAATGACACTTTTTTCATTAGATACTGTTATTTTTTGACGAAGTGAAGAGTAACCTTCGTCAAAAAAATTCCTGAAATCATATCTTACATACAAATAATTAAAAAAATAAAATAAAACTTTTTTTTCATTAGATAACTGTTTATTTTTTGACGAAGTGAAGAGTAACACTTCGTCAAAAAAATCCCTGAAATCATATCTTACATACAAAAAAATACAAAATAAAACTAACTTTATTTTTTCTATCTTAAGGAAATTCATGACAAACATTTACCCGACATTCTCGTCAAATACAAAAATGACACTTTTTCATTAGATAACTGTTATTTTTTGACGAAGTGAAGAGTAACACTTCGTCAAAAAAATTCCTGAAATCATATCTTACATACAAAAAAATACAAAATAAAACTAACTTTATTTTTTCTATCTTAAGGAAATTCATGACAAAACATTTACCCGACATTCTCGTCAAATACAAAAAAATGACACTTTTTCATTAGATAACTGTTATTTTTTGACGAAGTGAAGAGTAACACTTCGTCAAAAAAATCCCTGAAATCATATCTTACATACCAAAAAATACAAAATAAAACTAACTTTATTTTTGGTCTTTTGTGAAAGTCAGAAAATAAACGCTTTACATGTATTTTTCAAGCAACTTCGTCAAATAATTTTATAGCTTATCTATCTCATCTACTTCAAACGTTTCTTTACCTTTTTATGGAGCACCATACATTTTCTCAAACTTTCAAGTAGTTCTGTTTCTGCAGCTCTCATATCATGAACAAACACAACCTTGACTCTATTGACTGTATGTCATATCTTTGAGTTATATTATATGTTCTTCCTATCTTATATCTCTTTGTATTGAAGTCCTTCGTTTCTGAACGATGTAAAGTAAGCCTTCACTGCAACGTTCCGTATCGAATGAACCATATGTTATGAAGTTATATCCAACAACTGGGTCTAACCATAACAAAACTATTGGTATAAGACTTTTGTCGATGAGATATGCTGTAGTTCCATAGAATTTTACCGATATCATAAGCTCAGGATTTCTTGTCAAAATTTTCTGAGTAGAAGCAATTTTAACCCAGTCCTTCGGTCTTCTTCCAGATGGAGATAAAATGTCTGACAAAGAATATTTGTTGTATTTCTTTGAGTATCTTACGTTTAAATCACCTATTCTAACCAATTTGGTGTCATTGTCTATCTTTTTAACTGTTTCAAACTCAATGTTTGTCATATATGTTCTTACATACAAAATAAAAAATAAATAAAAATAAAACTAACTTTATTTTTTATTTCGGGAAAATTCATGACAAATTCATGAGGGTAGAAAAGAGGGTAGAAGACAGGTTAGATCTAACCTTCTACCCTAAAATATATTTTTGGGTCCTTTACACTCATTACGAAGAAGTCTTGACAAAACATTTACGAAGAAGTCTTGACAAAACATTTACGAAGAAGTCATGAAAATTCAAGATGTGAAAAAAGAGGTGAAAAAACAGGTGAGATCGCACCATCTACCCTAAAATATATTTTTGGTCCGGGAACAACTTTCTCTCAATTGGAGCTGTGGCATACTCTTTGCGTAAGCGGTTCAGACCTTCTTCGAACTCTTGGTCTCTCTTCGATTTGGATTGAGATTGGAATTGCTGGGGTGGAGCTTGCTGGAACATCCAAGGGTTGGGGAAGTAAGGCATAGGCTGAGGAGGGTAGTTCGGGAAGCCTTGTAGTGGAAATTGGTAGTAACCTTGAGGTGGAAATTGATAGTAATTTGGTGGAGGTACTTGCTGGAACTGAGGTGCAGGGGCTGGTGCTTTAGGTTCCTCTGGTTTGGGAATGGACTCGGTTGGTGGTACGTCGGACATTGTTCTGAAACAGTACAAGTATTGTTCTGAAACAGTACAAGTATTGTTCTGAAAAAGTACAAGTATTGTTCTGAAACAGGACAAGTATTGTTCTGAAAAAGTACAAGTATTGTTCTGAAAAAGTACAAGTATTGTTCTGAAACAGAAAATTTTTCTCACAAATTGAGAGCTTTTACGGGAATTTTTGTTCTGAAACAGGACAAGTATTGTTCTGAAAAAGTACAAGTATTGTTCTGAAACAGTACAAGACTAGTTCTGAAACAGTACAAGACTAGTTCTGAAACAGTACAAGTATTGTTCTGAAAAAGTACAAGACTAGTTCTGAAACAGAACAATGGACAACATCGAGCCATTAGATGAGGCAATTTACCTTATAGAGATAAATGAAGTTGTTAAGCAGTACTTGGGCAAGGACAAAGCCAACAAGTCCTCGGCTGCTGGTTGTCTGGAAGAGGTGCGCTGAAAATCGAAATTGAAACCGGAATTCCAATTCAAATACCAGAAAACACTCCTGTAGACGACATAAAGGAGATGAAGAAAGAAGCTCTTCTCAAGTTCTTTGCAAAGCGCCCATGGATACAACTTCCAAACAGAGAGAGTCCAATTCCACGAATTATACAAATTCTCAGAGCACTGTTCCACTTCTCAGGACGGCCGTTCTTCATAACCTCAGAAGGCGACATCCAACCAGTACTGTAAACCTTAACGTTTAGAGTAAAAACATTTTTTTTCATTTTTGAATGAAGCAAGTTAAATTCGTCCCACACCAATCTGAATGGACCGATGAAGAGTTTCAAGCCATCGTTGAAGACGTTGAGAACGACATAGACGGCGAACTTGAAGGAGCTCAAATCACAATTGCAACCAAAATTGCAGAGGTCAGGAAGATAGCTCCACTTAAAGCTACCAAAGTACTCTTGACCTCATGGATAGTTACCGTTTAGATGTCAAGAGTGGAATAAGACAATTAAAATTAAAACTTCTAAACTACGAAGCTATACTCCAAAAGTTAGCAGAAATGAGAAGACTTTACCAGAGCTACTTACATGTAAGGGACTTACCTTCAAGCAGTCCGACCAAAGATGAATTTGTTGACATTGTCCCAATTTTGTCCGAAAGTCAGCTCAGATGTTTCGAACTGCTCCCAACATATCCGGAATATGAACGTTTGCCTGAACTCTTTCGGTTCCTCAAAAAACGTTTTTTGGTTCTCATGTTCGAAACTTTATCGGAAGAGACAACAAACGTTCAGAAGAAGAACAAGATATTATTTTAAACTTGTTGTATGACATAACTGTCATAACAAGCTTTTTGAAGTAAAACCGTCATTCTCAAACCACTTCATTTTTTCGATGTCCGAACAAGCACCGAAGCCAAACTCAATGGAAGATGTCCTTTCAAGGTTGCCAGACAAGCGCCCAGTTCAAATTCAAATTGCCCAATTGAACGCTCATCTGTCAAACACCATTAAGACTCTCCAAAGTAGTCTTATGGAAGAGATAACCAATCTCAAAGTCAAAGTCCTCACGAACCAAACTTCCAATAAGAAAGTCCTGAACGATTTCGCGGAAACCTTGCGCCAATACAACATAGAGAACCAAAACCTTGCCCGACTCATCTACCGTTTCTTCGAAGAGATAGACGCCATCTGGAAGGTACTCGGAAAGGACAGAACATGCAACACCGTAATTCGTGAACACAGAATTGCCGAAGGTATTATCAAAGAAGAGGAAGAAGAGGAAGAAGAAGAAGAGAAACACGAAGAAAAGGAAGTTTGGGCAACCCTTGTTGTCGATGACGCTTACGAAATTTCCAAACCTACCCATACAAAATCCGCAACAAGGCGACAGGCAAGGTTCTTACCCAGTCCTCAACAACTTGGGACACTTGAACCTTAACCTTCGGAATTACGGTTCAGCTTCCATGGGTAGGGTTGTCGGCATGCAATGGGTTCATAATCGACAAGAAGTCGAGGGTCAGACACATTGACGGTGACAAGCTCAACAACCCGTAAGGAGAACCCGAGTGGTTCTAAGAAGTAAAAAATTTATTTTAGGGGAGAAACCCCAA